ATCTATTCATTGAATATCATTTGATTTCTGCTATTGCCTGTGAGTACTAACATTTCAAGAAAATCACAACAACAGGAAGATTCAAGACTAGTTAGATTAGGAGTGTGAGTCTGAAACAATGTAATTTTATATATATATTTTTAGTCTGGCCACAAAATGTATGTAAGTCTGAGCAACCATGCACACACAGGGGGAGGGTTTTAAAAGTAAAAATGTAGATATTCTTTCTATGGTGATCGTACTGTACGAATTTATTTCGCATTGTATGATCTGATCTTGCAAAACGTTTTTTTGTGAATAGATCGTACTATACGAATACAATCTTATTGTACGATATGTTACAAATTCAAAACCCTAGCCATCAAATTAACTTAAGTTATTCTCAATCGTTCGTACTGTACGAAACAATTCGTACTGTATGACGTATTTTAAATACTTAAATTAACCCGTGATTAGTGGAATAAATCAAGGCCTAATTACTGATTGATAATCGTACTGTACGAACACGTTCGTACTATACGATGAACAGAGACGAATTCTGATCGTCCCAGAGATCGTTCTGGACGATCCCTTGTTTTTGCCTCATCGTACTGTACGATGTAGATCGTACCATACGATGAACAGATACGACATTTGATCGTCCCGGAATTCGTTCTGGACGATGCCTTGATTTTGACCATTCGTACTATACGATGTGGATCGTACCATATGATGTACAGAGATGACTTTTGCTCGTCTCGGCTATCGTCCTGTACGAGCAGTAGTGTTGAGTATCGTACCGTACGATTTATTATCATACTGTACGATTATATTTTGAACTGTTCGTACACCTTCGTACCAGGACAAGGCATATTATACATATCGTACTGTACGATATGAAATCGTACTATACGATAGTAACAACTACTTCGAAAATTTCAGGAATTTTGGAGCCCGATTTATGTGTCAAAATTGTTATGTTTTGACAGAGACAAAAAGAGGGGAATGTGATTAGAGAGGGAATCCTTGGGAGAGCTCTTGAGAAGTTTTTAGGGTTTGAGAGAGGAAGGAGAATGTTAGCTTGGTGAAGGAGAAGAGGTGTGAGGGAGATCAAACGGTTGCTCCGTTCTTGCTGCATCTTGCTCTTCCTGTGGCCTGGGAAGAACTTGTGGGAGGCTCTATGAGGGGGAGACTCTTCTACATCCGGGACCTTGAAGGTGCTCTGCCTTCTCCAGGAGGGAGAAAAACGAGAAGGTAATCTGCCGTCGCCAGGAGAGTGAAAACAGCGCTTGGCACTCCGCCACGCCGGGTTGGTGAAAGTGAGTCTTGTAAGGGCTTCTCCGCCTTGCCGAGGGGGGCAAAAGGATAGCTATAGTTTGTAGTGAAATTCCCGGAACGGAGGACTCCGGGGAGTAGACGTAGGCCATGGTTTGACTGAACCACTATAAAATTCTGGTGTGCTCTTTTCTTATTGCTTTGTATTTTTTGCTTGCACTTTATTTTCATAATATTTTCTTGGTGAAAACTATGAAAGAAAAAGGATTTCATTGTTGCACGTTGAGTTCAATTATTTGCCTTCGTAGTAGTTAAAGTTTTTATGTTAAAAATTTAAAAATATCAAAAAAATTAGAACTCTTGCTTAGGTGTTTAATTATTGCTATACCTTGAAAGAGCACTCTTATGTTGAGGTAAATCACCAAGTTCCTCCAATATAAGATCAATGCAGTGTGCTGTGCAGGGGATCCAATACAGGTGTTTCCTCTTCTCCATTAACATCTGACCAGCTGCTTTGTATGCAATAGCATTGTCAGTCACTACCTGAACAACCAATTACTCTCCAATCTCCTCAACAACCCCATCTAGTAAATTGAAAATGAATTCAGCATTTTTAACCTCATCATAAACACAGTCCTGTAGGGATTGTTGACAAGGATATTAATCAAGTTTCTACTCTTCATGTTAGACCACCCATCTGACATAATGGTAACACCAGTCTCAATCCATGTTCATTTAATCTCATCAATGTTATGTTATGTGTTCTGCAGCTCCTTTAAAATCCATGTTCGCAACTCGTACATGGAATGTTTCTTAAACCCTCTCCCATACACCGCAGCATATTGAAGTAGGCCGGTGATGTCGCAACATTAAATGGTATGGCATTCTCAAAAAAAAAAATCTGCCAATATCCACGCTAACCTGCCGTCGACCCTCTCTGGTACCAGCCACAGGCATCATCTGTGCTTGTCCTCTATTCTCTCCTGGAGTAGTCATATATTGGTTCATAGGACTCCGCGCACCTCTATTATGTATAGTGAAGGAAGAGCCCTTTCCATTCTTTCTCCCAAAGTAAGCACCATGTTCGACCCTTTCCTCAAATTGCTCCTATTGTAAATGTTTGGTCATCGTACTCTTTTTCATATAAGCTGTAATTTATTCCTTCATGTTATCCGGAACATTCGCACAAGGTGCTACATTCTTATGTGAGCCGGATAAGTGCCTTCATGCAAGTTACTCCTCCCTTCATCACTTTATCACAAAAATTGCATTTTAAATAAACATACATCTTCTCGCCGCCTCCTACATCAACTTGTACACTGTACTTCCAAGAAGGATCATGCCTTAATGATGTATTAGACTTCTCCTTGCCCCTTACCATATTTCCTAAAGCACAAATGCAAAATAAAACAAAAAATCTCAAAAAAATTAAAACCCTAAATTTTCTTTCATTTGAAAAATCTTTTGTTGAAGTAAAACAAAATACCTAAAATCATTTGTAGACTTCTCCTAGAGGGCGGCCGGACAATTCAAGCTCGCCGGAGTGAGGCGGCGCTGGCAGGAGAAGCGGCGGGTAGGGAGGCCGAGCGGACGTGCGGGTTTTTTTGCCTGCTTGATTTCGGGTAGGTTGTATGAAAGGGGAGGAAGAAACTTATTTCACTTAAGTGTGTGGGTCCCGGTTTATATAGGCGTGCACCTCACACGGAATTGCGTATTTCTTCCTTGAGGCGTGCCCACAGTGGAAGAGGCGTACGCCTCATGAGGAACCAGAATTTCTTAGGTAATGAGGCGATTTTGCCCAGAATTGCGCAGATGATTGCGCAATTTTAAACTATGCTTCTAAACGAAGTCATAAATCTCAAACTAAATAAATCTCTGGGTATTCTAATAGATGTAAATCTCAAAACACTAACAAAATTAAAACCCACATTTAACCACTTCAGTCTACTCGGGATCCCTGAGAGGAGGTAACTTATGATTGCTAATCAGATTCCATAGACACTGCGCTCAATGATTGTTATTGTTGGTAGACTGAAAACTACGGTATACCCGGGACAACGGAACCATGGGATTTTGATCGGGTTTATCTCCATTTCTCCTACAATTGAGATTAAAATTACCTAAAAGTTATTCATCCTTAATCGAGAGTTCTCTCTTACGTAGTAAGAAGGGTAATTAATTATAAGTGCTTGCGCTTATAGGAAATAAGGATCCCAGTTTTATAAACCCTGACATTACCCTCAGGAGAAATTTGTTTAATTTCAATCTGACTTAAGGGAAGTGGAATCCTACGGCTGTAAAACATGATTCTTGCATTTGTACCATTTTTCTTGAGCCAACAGATGTCGAGCATCGTCAGGTACTGGATGCATTGGAGGGCAGAGCTCTTGGGCAATTGTCGTGCTTTCAAAAATAATGTAGAGTTGCAAGCATCTCCTTGTCAACTTTTTTGGATTCAGAGATAGGCGAGATTGATGTTGTTGAGTGAGATGACTGGAGACATAGCTTTACTTGTGGTAGAGAAGGTTGATGAGAAAGGGTTATTGAATGACTTGCATTGGCAAGCATAAGATGGTTCTTATTCTATGTTAATCGAATTCCTGACCCACATCATTAACAAGGCTAAAATTCAATTATTACAAAAATTATAATTTAGCTTAGGGGTTGTTTGGTTTGCTGAAAAAGAAATGCAGTGTAAAGTAAATACAGTGTAAAGTAAATACTTTGAGGTTGTTTGGTTGTCTGTAAATTTAATGCATAAGAATTTTTATTTTATTTCGTTGAGCGTATGCATAGTAAAGTAAAATCCTACTTGAGACATTTAAATCATGATTAATTTGCGAATGCACGTAGCAACACAAACAACCAATATGCAGATCCAAAGTAGTAAAAGCTTACTCTCAGTTCTTCAATCATCCAAACTAGTAAGCATCGGTATAGATCCGAGATCTTGAGGACGCCATTGCTTCTCCTGCTTGAAATATCGAGAAAACATAGCCAAATGCCATAGAGGAGAAGAGCACCGTCGAAGCAACCGGACTGCTAAAGGTCCCAGAAGTGGGTATCGGAGCCAAAGTATTGGTGGTTGTGTTTCTCCTGCATGCTTTCTCTTGTACCGAAGCGATCGGAAGCGGGTGCCGAAGCGACTGGACCCGCCATTGCTTTTGCTTGTTTTCTCTTCAATTCCCTAAGCTTTGCTAAAGTTTGGAGAGTGAAGGGCATTGAAATAAAAAATGAGGATGAAGAGACGAAGATGGTTCCGCGGGCTTCTCTCTTTTCCCCTAGCGTGATTTCCTTTTTCACTCAAAAAGAGTGGGTTTCTTTTAAACGAAAAATGGTCTGCGGCGTGGGATTTGGAATACACTAGGTTTTCACTTTACATTTTTTCCAGACAAGCAACAAAAAATAAAAAAGCTATGCATTTAGTTTATACTTTGCATTCACGTTTACTCTAACCAAACACCCTCTTAATAAAAAGCCCACAACTATATACCTAAATACAAATGTTTATAACTACGATGCTTAATTATGTAGATTCTGTAACTTAAAGTTCACAATAATTAAGACATATCGCCCCCCAACCAAAAAAAAATACAGAAAAAGAAGTAAATATCTTATTAGCTGATATTCTATCATTCGCTTTCTCCAATAACCTCTGCGTCCTTTTTGCCGTAAGATTATTATCATCATTAAGCCTCTCTATTGCCATCAAGTTCCCAACTAACGCATTTTGATTTTCTCTGTAGGTTTATGCTTACCACAAAGCTCTTCCAATGCCTATTACTTCGCACAAGTTTGGCTCCATTGATCCAATTACTGGACAAGAAACTGGCGATGATAATGGACAGTTCGTATCTAGTGTCTGCTGGAGGACCAAATCAAACATGATAGTTGTTGCAAATTCCAGTGGCAGCTTAAAGCTATTACAGTTGGTTTAATTGAAAGAAAATAAAGCGAGTCGAGTAATTTAACACCAGTTCTGACTGGAGGAAACATTCCAATATTACCATGTTCAAAGGTCACTTAACTCTCCTCCTAACTTCATATATATATATAAGATTATTAGTTTATGACACGCTCCCATAGTGATGAAGATCGATTCTATTGATGATAATGGCATTTTTCTACGTCAAGTTTTTGCCATGTCAGGTTTATCACTGAGAAAGAATTAAAAGGCATTTTACCTTTTGGAACTTGAAGAAACCAATATGGTATGTACAGTAGAAGTTTGTGTATGATGAAGTTTTCAATCATGCCATTGTTTTATATAGTTCTGCTATCAGCTTCGTGTTCTCCATTTTTCAGTTTAGAGAATTCATTTTGTAGAGATTTTTTTTTTCTAAGCATAGAATCTTACAATCTTATTTGATTTATGAAATTGTTAGTATCTTAATAATTCATCATTTAAAGATGCAGAAACTTGTATGTTGACAAGGGCTTGTAACTGTTATCTGGTGAAGATTATGTCCAAAGTTGCAATGAGAAGCCAACTAGCAGCTACAGCTTATTTTCATGGTATCCTTTTGATACGATTGCAGATATCTGTAAAAAATATATAGAATTGTTATGATGGAAGTAATTTTCTTAAAATTATTATGAGTATTACAATTTTTTTTAGAAAGTAGAATAAGAAATTTCTTATAACTATCATATTATAATAAATTTGGTTAAAAACTATTATAGAAAAGTTTTTGAAAATCAATGATATAGTGCAAATTACAAACGGTTTTTTTTTTTTTTTTTTTTTTTTTTTTTTTTTTTTTTTTTTTTTTTTTTTTTTTTTTTTTTTTTTTTTATGAAAAGCCTTAAACCCTTATCTTTTTGCATTAGTCATGTATGCTCTTATTGGACATTTGCAAGAGGATGTATCTTAATGTATGTTTTTTGTTGATGATATTCTTCTTGTTGATAAGACTAGAGAGAGAGTTGAGGGTAAACTTGAATTATGGAGGTCAACATTAGAGTCTAAAGGATTTTGTTTGACTATATCTAAAATTGAATATATGTAGTATAATTTTAGTAGTAATAGATCTAGTGGAGGGGTTGTGACTTTGGGTGATCAAGTCATTAATAAGGTACACATTTTGGATATCTTCGATCTATTGTTCAGAGTGATGATGAAATAGATGGAGATATTATCAATAGAATTCAAATTGGATGGTTGAAGTGGGGGAGTCTAAAGGATTTCGCTTGAGTAGATCTAATATTAAATATATGTAGTGTAATTTTAGTGGTAATAGACCTATTGGGGGATTGTAACTTTGGTTGATCAAGTCATTAATAAGAGTACACATTTTAGATATCTTTGATCTATTGTTCAGAGTGATGGTAAAATAGATGGAGATATTATTAGTAGAATTTAAATTGGACGGTTGAAGTGGAGGAATGCATCGGGCTTGTTGTGTGAAAGAAAAGCCCCCTCTCAAATTTAAGTGAAAATTCTATAAGATTGTGCGACTTGCAATGTTTTATGGTGCAGAATGTTGGCCATTAAAAGAGAAGCATAATACTAAGTGTTGCATAGATGAGGATGCTCTGGTAAATGAGTGGATTTACACTTAGAGACAGTATACGATATGATAATATATGTGCAAAGGTTGTTGTAGCTCCAGTGGAAAATAATATTAGAGAAAGTCGTCTTAGATTGTTTGGTCACATAAAACGATGGTTTTTCAATGACCCGATTATGAAAGAAGATGTATTATATTTGATTTATATTAAGAAAGATAGAGGTAGACATAAAAAGATTTGGGTAGAAAATATTAGAAATGATCTTTCTTTATTAGTTTTTTGACTGAAAATTTATAAGATTAAAGAATTGATTAATAATATAAGATTAAATGATTAGTGATAATTAATGTATTATTATTATGAGATTAAAAAATGAAATTTTATTAAGTAAATTTTAAGTATCATAATAAGGAAAATTTTATTTCAGATAATAAAAATAATAATTAGATTATGAACTTTTCATTAATTTTAAATTAAAATTTCGGTGTATATATATAAGAGAGAGAGAGAGAGAGCATACATTTTAAAACTCAATAATATATGAAATTTTAATTGTATCAAATTAGAGAAATTAGAACGGTAAGATTTCATTTAAATTTTAACGGTAAGATTTCATATAGGTGTTTAATCTATCAACGTCAGAGTAAGAAGTGTGAAGTGCCACAATGCCTTGATTTAAGCAAGTACTCACGTTTTTAAATTATAGTAATGCTTTTATTTTCTTTTAAATTAAATGTATTAAAGGATATTAACATATGCTTATTTAGTCTTTATTGCAAGTTAGATCACAATTTAGCTTTCTCATATCTGGTCATTTTGGATTAGATGATAATTAGCATGCTTTGTTTAATATTATTATATAAAGTTAATGGATGCTAGATGAATGAAATGGATAGATAGATATGCTTGCATGTGCATGATTGATTGATATAGTATGCTTCCTTATAGTACTAGCTGGGGACACAATGTACTCACGCATGTGAAATAAATTTTTTTGAAAAAGTTTATAAAAAAATGAAAAATGGAGTAACTTAATTAGTGTTATTTAAATTGTGTCTCATTTGATGGCTGTATTTGTTACATAAAATAATATAACATGATATAATTATTATATATATGCATCTGATATGATTATCACAAACACGCATAAGATATGATTGATGGTTATTTTCAAATTTAAATATTATTAAATAAAGTTATTTATATTTTCCAACAAGAATGCATATTGTTCCAAATGTATTTTATTAATATAATATAGAAGCACGACATGTTCACTGAGCTATATTATGATTTACTTCTATATTTGAAGACATTCACATGTTTTAGTATTCAAAGAAAATGCATATAAGTGGAAGAAGAGAGAATGTATATCATAAATATAACGCTTTGAAAGAAATGTATTTATAGAAATAGTTATAATATACTTTTGGTGCCTTTGACATTTTAGTAGCACTTTCACTATATTAGAAATATTTATTAAACAAAAAATCTTTAAATAATCAACCCACTATCTCTTTGCGTCTTTTTCATACGAGCTTTTGTGCCAAGACATTACAAAAATACAAATACGTATTGAATAAATTTTAAGAGGAATATAATAAATTTAGAAGTAGCGAATTAATTTTGATTATCAATTATCAACATGTCATTTAACCTCATAAATTAGACTCAGTTTAGAATACTTATTAACCCTATGACCATCGATTGTGTTAGTACTCATGCATGTCACCCTTATGACCTATAGTGGTACTATTACCTATTCTTGTTATCCTATGATTCATAGGTGACATTACAACCCATTCATAATTTTCATATGGTCTATAGGTGATAGTAACATCTTTCAAATCATCTTATGATTCATAAATGGTATTGAAGTAAACAAAACATTTTGTTGCCAATTTAAATTTAAACCCCTAGGTTCGACAAATATTGTTCATAGATCATGCTTCCACCTAAAAAAAAAAAAGATCATGCTAAAAACATGGGGGACCTCAAGGGGATTTAGTGACAAAAATAGGTTGATTCGAACTCATAGATAATACATGTCATTATCTTACTGTTAAATGATCAAGATACTTGAGTTGATTTTATAATATATTGTTAATCATCTCATCACTTGCAAATGGAATATTAAATTTGTTCACTATAAAATATGCTCAAATATTATTTTACTTAAAGATAAAAATCTTCAAGAAAAATGTGTTGAAAAATAAAAGAGTAGCAAAGCGAGATTTAGAGAAAAAAATAAACTCAAGACATTTAAGGGAAGTTGTTCGATTAAATGTGTTCAAACTTCTAAATCGGGGAATTGATCATGCAAAGATGTAGAGCACTTGGAATGAAAATCTAAATTTTTACCATAAAACAATTAGCTTGGAAAGAAAATAAGAACAATGAAAAATGTGTTGGAATTTTCAAATTAAAAGAAGCCCTCACACAAGGAGAATGTGATGTATTTATAAAAATAATAATTTAAGCTTTTTTTAAATAATAATCTAATAATATTTTATCAAATAATAATATAATGCAACAATAACAACATCAAGCCTTTATTCCATCACATGGGGTCAGCTTAATTAATCCTTTTTTTCTGTTGTGTTCTATTAAGGATTAAATTTTTATTTAAGTCTAGTAAAAATATCATTTCTAATATTTTATAACCAAGTATTTTTAGGTATACCTCTACCTTTCTTAACATAGGCCAAATCATTAATTCTCCTAACTGAGTCATTAGAAGGCCAATGTTTTATGTAAACAAACCATCTAAGGCAACTCTTTATAATCTTATTTGTCATTGAAGCTACTCCAACCTTTTCACTTATATACTATTTTGCATTATGTCTCTAAGAGTGAAGCCACTCATCCACCTGAGCATCCTTATCTCTGCAACACTTAACTCGATTTTATGCTTGTCTTTTAATGGCCAACATTATGCCTCGTAAAGCATTACAAGTCTCCTCACCGTCTTATTTCTCTTATGTTTGAGGGGTATTTTTATATCACACAATATGCCTAATGCATTCCTCCAATTCAACCATCTAACATAAATTCTACTCATAATATCTCCATCTATTTCACCATCACTTTGAACAATAGACCAAAGATATCTAAAATATGTACTCTTATTAATGACTTGATCACCCAAGGTTACAGTCCCCCACTAGATCTATTACTACTAAAATTGCACTACATGCATTCAATTTTAAATCTACTCAAATGAAAACATTTAGACTCTAAGGTTGATCTCCACAATTTAAGTTTATCTTCAACCCCCTCTCTATTCTTATCAATAAGAAGAATATCATCAACAAAAAGAATACAATATAGTAAATCCTCTTGCAAATATCCAGTAATCACATCCATGACTAGAGCAACTGTGTTTAAAGCTGATCCTTAATGTAGTCCAAGGAAAATACTTTGTAAAATTACCTTGTATTTGAACACAATTAATAGCTCCTGCATACATATCCTTAATGAGTTGAATATAAGCACTATTACTCTCTTTCTTTTCTAGAAATCTCTAGAGCACTTCTCTTGAAAATGTATCATATGTTTTATTCTAAATAAATAAATAGCATAGGTAGATCCTCCTTATCTCTATACTTCTACATCAAGCCTCTCAATAAATGTATATCTTCCATAGTAGATATACACAGCATGAATCCAATTTGATTTTGAGAAATATTAGTATTACATCGTAACCTATGCTCCAACTCGCTCCCATTGAGTTAAAGTATGACATATTAACTTAATTCCTCCATTATTCATACACTTGAGCATCACTTTTATTCTTAAAAATAAGAATCAACACACTCCTCCATTCATCTGACATCTTTTTAGTCCTCAAAATAATATAATATTTAAAAAATAGTTTATAATAAAAAATATTAGATTCAAGTGGCAAGAAAATGACTAGTTACATAGGCATATCAAAAAGTCTTTAGATACCTCCAAAAATTGTAAAAATAACTAACTAGCTTATAATATTAAAATCATATAATATTTAAAATCAAAATAAATTCAATTTGAATAAATAGGATGATTGGTGACGATCGTACTGTAGGACCCGAGTGATGCATGGGATGATAATT